TGCTTTCCTTACCATGTTGTCATTCCTGCATGTAGCCCCTACACCTTATATTGATACTGTAGTTGGGCTCATCTATGTTAAACCCCCTGTGATCCCTGCTATTGTTGGCTGTCCCAGTGCTATCTGACCAAGCACTTCTATTTGCATACTTCCTCCCTTTGCAGTTCTGTTTCCTGCTATTAGAATCTTAACCAGGTGTCTGAAGATTAGATTTTGTTTCCCTTTTAATGGCATGTGTCACTTTCACACATTGGTTTTACTACTTGGTGTGGGATAGAAAACAATAGGAGCCTGTTATAGTGTAGTCCTAAGAATCCTAAGAATTTAGAAATGGTTTTTAGTAGTAAACCGAGATGTCCTCCTATTTCATGTTCTGCAATAGCAAGCATGCCAGTTTGATGTGTAGAGGTAATTACTCAGAGAAGAAAGTATTATTTGGCACAGTGTCCCAGCTGTGGCAGTAAGGAAGTTCTCTACTTCCTCAACTCCACCACTGCATGCATAGCCTGACACAAAGCAAGCACATTTCTCTACACTGTGTCTCACTTCACAAAAGTGAACTGTTTGTTGTTTTCCACCCATCTTTCACAACCATTTCCAGTTAGACTTTTGTCTGAATCTGTATGCCTCAGATGTGTGGTATTAGTTCCATAGCAAGGAAGTTGGAGGGCAGTGATCTGCAGGGATAGGGTGTTTTGATTAGCTTGTACAACTGCTGAAACTTTGCTGAGCTGCTAGAAGCAGGAATCAGTGGTTACACCTAAATTCTTCTGTTTCTCAAGGCTGAAAAACTGATTTCTCAGGCCTAAAATAAACACGTTCTCCCCCTCTTAAAATAGTCCTGCTTGGATTAAAACCAAAAAAGTATCTCAAACATTCAAGCTTAACTACTTTTCACAATGTGGTACCAACATTAAACTTCTTTTACGTTCTGGGAAAAAGAAAACCTTGAAAACCTTGTTTTCTTTCAACCTTGTTCCCTTTTAACGTTGACTTGTTCAGCACAAAGAAAGAAATAAGATTCTGGGTGAGATGTTTTCCTTTTTTTTTTTTTTTTTTAAATGTTCTATGTGACTCAAATGTAAGCCTAGCTAGAAAGAGGAATGTGAGAATGAATAAATGACTTCATTGTGATAGAGACAATAAAGGCATGGCTGGCAGCAGTATGGCCTAATGGTGGTACAGTACCAGGAGACTCCATTTCAAATCCCACTGACACTGTTTCACCTCCCTGTGCCTCAGGTCTCACACTTGTTAAAGCATGGCTGGTGGTTCTTCCTCCTCTAGCACGAGAGCATTAATCACAGTTTGTAGTAGACGAAGGTTTGAGTTGACCACAGGAATGACAAGAAAAAAAAAAAGGAAGCTCAGTTATTTCAGGTTGTCTCAAAGGAAGGGTGAGCCGGTATGGCAGGGGGATGATGTGCCCACGGGTAGTCACACCAAAAATTAGCCTTCTTTCTTTTGATTTGGATTAGACGAAGTACTGTACTACCATGTGTAAATCCAACAGTGACTTTCAAATGGAATAGGTAAAACTGCATGGTAAAAATTGTTGTTGCTACAAGGTTATGTTTTCCATGAAGACTGTAAATAAATCTGTATATGAGATCTTACAGGTTTTACTACAGTTCCAAAGCCAGAGAAGCTTTGTTTTTCATGACATAATTAATTTTGCTCACAATTAAATAGAATGGAAGAGGCAAGTGCAAAGATAGGTAATTAACTGAGCATTACTTGCCTTTTTGCTGAGGAAGAGAGAGTCTGAAGTTTACTTCTGTTTAGTTTATTCAGCTTGCTCTGTTTCAGGCAATAGTTTGCATTGTAGGTGCTCCAGAAATATTTGAGGTTAACATGTGATGTTATACTCATGGAAAACATCCTTATTAATGCTAACTAGAGCAACCTCACTAAATCCTATATGGTTTGCTGTAAACAGTTACATAAGAAGGCTGAAGACTTTCTAGGACAAGTAGCAATTGCCTTATATTGCTACAGGCTTTGGTGGTGTGAGAACTGATGGGAAAGGCTGTGTGAAAGCCTGGATCGTGGTGGAGTGGGCTTTCAAGTTCCTTCATTTTTATAGCAAGTACATATCTCCTAAGACTTCTCAGACTGAAGGCTTTTGTTGAGTCAGTCTCCAGACTCTCATAAGAAAATGGAGCTGAAAGGGGAGAATTTTGTCACTTTGGGCACTCATTTGAGTGAGGGCTTTCCAGAGATGAATGGAGTGTTGAATTGGGCCCTGGGAGAGATGTCACTTGAAGATGATTTTGTTTGGTGTGGCATTCATCATCCCTCTGCCAGTGTATCTTCAGTGGCTTGTCTTGGGTTTGTAATTCCTACTCTGCTGTGGATGGGTTTGTTTACAATTTCTTAGTACACTTTTCTTGTCCTTTGAGAAAACAGAGCTGTGAAGCTGTTATTTTCTACCTTTTTCATATGTTAATTGCATTTGATTGCTGGGAAATGATGTTTTCTCCTTTGGCTTAGAGAACTTAACAAGCTGAAAAGCTCTCTGAAGAAAATTTATATTTACATGCTTTCCCACTTAGGAAAATGCTTTTAAATGTCCTTTTTTTTTTTTTTTTTTTTTCCCTGCTCAAATATTAATGAAAAAAAAAGAATTTATGCTTTCATAAAGATAAGTATTTTGCAGTAACACTAAGACTAGAGTATTAATTAACAGAAATCTGAGACAAAGAAAAGCCCCAGTTTCTGTTCATGTACCCCGCTTGTATTACATCAAAGTTGTGTTATTCCACATTGTTTGATGGTGATCACATTCAAGCTAGGCTTTATTTAAATAGAAGATGTCTTAGGCTTTTAGATATGAAAAGCAGGTTAAGAAGAATACCAGTGGAACAGAAGCACTTTAAAATAGCATATTGAGAGATACAAGTGATAACATAGCTAAGACTCAGATTCCTCAGGAAAATGAGCTTCATGTTTGTCAGTAATGAAGCTTGGTGGTTTGGGCTTTTAAGAGTGAGTCATAACACAGCTTTGTACAAAATGCCCTGTTCTTGTTTGTTCTTGACCTTAGGAAGATCAAGGAAATGAGCACACAGAAGAACATCATTGGGCCAGGTCACACAGCTCAGTCTTTTGATGATGTCGGAGCTGGGTTGGGTCTGATATCCAGATCAATCAATAGCCAGCGGTTGCAAAGCAAAAATACAGTTATGTAAGGAAGCGAATCTCTCTGAGGTTAAAGTTTTCTTGACATAAAGCCAAGAAATCAGAGTCATTGCATAGATATTTCAGCAATGTTTCAAGTAAGTCACAAGCAGGAGAGGAGCTGTTTTCTAGGCTTACATATATGTCGTTGCTTTGTGTTACATGAACAGTGCAGGCAGGGGAGGCCAGTAGGTAACAAAATAGACCCATGAACAAAGAAAAAGGCTGGAGGTGATGTCACTGTTCAGTCTGCTACTGCTTATGTACTCTGCAGGTGAGAGAGCTATTCAAATACCTGGAAGTTCTTTGGTTTTCACTTGAACTAGAGTGAACAGATAAGCAAGGCAGAGTGCACAGTTCAGTCTTTTCTCCCTTTTTCCTTCCTCAATGCTTACGTATGCAGGTAGTGGAATTCTTCTGAGGGGAAAAAAAAACCAAAACCTACACAAAAGACCTTCAGCCCAAGGGAAGGTCTATGTTGTCGTGATGTTGGTGAAACCTTTTTGTTTGCCACTTGCTGTGGAATATTTTCCTTGCAGGTTAAAATTAGAATCCATGGATATGCAGCTTTTGCAAGCTTCTGCTAATGCATGTAGGCGTGAAAGCTGCACTGATGTGGTTTGCTTATTTGTTAATATTTAACATTTAGGGTGGAAAGTAGAGGTCTTGAACTGTGTAATTTCTGTGGAGTGATCACTTGTGCTTTCCACATACTTAAAGGTAATTTCAGAGAAAAAGCTAGAGGCATTACATTTGGGTGTAACATAGATCTTGGTCTTATACACAGGCAGCAGGATTCTGAGGTTTGTATATGCTAGCCTTCAGTAGTAGCACTCATCAGATGTCAGTATCTCTGATGTGATTACACTGCTTGTCAGCGAGCACTGAATTCTGAGTATATAAATAATGTCAGGTGGGACTGTCTTAACATTCCTGGCTTATTGTGGGATCAGACTTTGGCAGTGCTCAGATGAGTTGAATGCACCTCTAAGCTATCTTTCAGCATCCTCTGGCAGGGCAGTCAGGTGCTGAGTCAGCCCTTGGAAGGAATGTGAATAGCCACAGGCTGCTAGTTTACCCTGTCAAAGGTAGCCCTGGTTGGAGCCAGAATCACCAGAGCAAAGCGTATGCAGCCTTGTATGCGGGCCCTGACACATCTGCTCAATTAGCTGTAAGGCTGCTGTCTGTCACAGTAAAAAATCAAAGCGTGAGGTAAGCTGAGGATTTCACTTACGTGATTGACTCAACAAGAAAAAGCTTCTATGTATCATTTTTTAATTTCTCACCCACTGATCCTGAATGTCTCGAAAGCATGGGTGCATTGTGATTCCTCTGGGGTAAGGCAAGCTTTATAGGTTTTCATCCTTTCGTACCTTCTGTCCCGCGTTTCCATTCCTTCCCAGTGCTGTTAGTTCAGCTGATAGCAGGACAGCCTCTCAGCACTCGTTTATGGTTGTAACCTGGATAATGTAATGGTTGCCCATTGCTTCCAAGTATCTGAGCTTATGCAAGTGGGGAGGTGGTGACCAGTGTTCGAAGGGCAGCAACAATCTGGTTAGTGGGCATGGTGGAGAAGGGTTGATGGTTGGACTAGATGATCTTAGTGGTTTTTTCCAACCTTAATGGCTCTATGATTCTATGATTTAAGCATAAACAGGAGAAGGAAAACCTGAAACTTTCTCCACCAAAAAGCAGACGCATAAGATAAACCTTCATCATCACATGAAATACTTAGCATTCCTCAGATGCCTGAGGACAAACTGTAAGGCAAGTCACAAGCCTGTTTATAAGCACTACGTAATTAGAGGCATCTTCCAAACTACTGAAGACAGCTATTTTTTAATTATATTATTTTGTCACAAAAACATTGCGGAGTTCTTTCCTTTTAATAATGTCTTGCTGTGTGGCATATGGAACCAAACTAAATCAGAACACACCTTTGCCTTGCAGAGCCTTCAGCCCCTTCCTGGTGAGCAGCTAAGGGCTGGAGCTTGCATATCCCACGCTGTATGATTCGATCCCTTGGTGTGTTCTTCTGCAGAACAAGGCAGTTCTTATCCTGGAGCATTTCTGCTCATAAACAGGTTGTTCTGCAGGGCTTGCCAGCTGCCCCCGTGGTCAAGGCCTCTGAAAGCAGCCATGCCTTTTTTCACACACCCCTGCCAGGAGTTACCTGGGTCTAAAGTTCAGAGGCCAGGCCTCAGGACCAGCGTGGACTTTGGTGCATGAGGAAGCTCTGTCCTGATAAGGAAGGATATGAATTTAAAACACCACAGTTATTCCTTTTTTTTTTTTTTTCTCTGCACAAGTGGCAGCGAGGCCTGATAATGTAGTCTGCTTCAGAAATGGATTCAAGTAAATGCTAAAAAGTTGTTTTCTCTGCTGATTTAACAGTCTCCTGAGCAAATCTGGCAGCTCGACACTGGTGAGAGAGATCTTACTGCCTGCTCTTCCTCTGCACTAGTTAGTGTGGATACACCATCTCCTCTGTACCAGCTGTGCTACTGGTGGTATACCTCCTGTGAGTCAAAAACCATCCATGTGTTCTTTTCTCCTGGTTCAGGGCACTGGTGCTAAGTACGCACACAGGGTATTTCATCAAGAGGAACTAAAATCAGCCTGGTGGAAGAGCCTTATCCTCTTGTGACAGTTTGTTGGCTCTGTTCACCCCACGTGAAGGAGTGCTTGGCAGTAGCAGGGAGGTGGCGTGTGATAGTCGCCGCCTAGACTGGGGCTATCGAAAGTTGCTGAGAAGGAAGTGCAGGTTTGGAGCCTGGCTGGATCTTCCTGTAGCAGCTAAAGTGAATATTGATGCTTACCAGCAAAGAGAGCTGTCCTGAGTGTTGCATCTCTGAGGACTGCTTGGAGCAGCTCACTGATCCAGGTGAGCAGCCTTAGTCTGAGAGACGGTACATGCAAACTGATTCCAGGAAAGTATCGATTTGCCAGCAGGGGGTTATGGTAATTGCCATTAATGGATGCCATTAATGGATGGAATCTTATGGAGTGCGAGCACATGATACAAAGCATTTTTTGCTTTGTCATTCTGTCTGTGGCAGATTGCCCAGACTAGACAGGGAGAGGCCCCTGGCCTAACAACCTGCAGCCAGAAGGCTTTCAAGATCCTGCCAGAGGTTATGGGTTTGGGTATTGCTAAAGCTGTGAACCTTTAGCAGAGATCTACCTGAAGATAGTGTTGCTTATATAAATGCCTTTGTTGTCTAACTACTTGATTTTTATCTGATTTAAGATGTAGTTTTACATGAACATTCCTGAGACTGTTTAAACTTGTTGTAAGAATAAAATGTAAGACTTCAGTTGCTTTAGGAAGCCACAGGACTGCAGCTTTGATAATGTATTGGGCAAAAAAAGCCCTCCTTTGTGCAGGCTGTGACCGCTGTTCAAACCCATGCTCTTGTTTTTCTCAAGTATGTGTGTATACACACGTGAACTCCCAGATTCTTTCTTCAGGCTAAAATAAGCCAAGAGTTATCCATCACTAATATTACTATTAACTATTGCATAACAACTGCTCTTTGTGGATCTCTGACTCCTTTGCCAACATCAGCTGGAGGACTTTTATCTCCAAGTTGCAGAGGACAACTGAGACAACAGTACTGTTCGGTTTTCAGGGACAGCGTTTGTGTGTATGTGTGTTTGGATGAATGCTTTGCAGATCTGTGGTCTCCCTGCCCAAAGGATGCATGCACGCTCAGGATGGCTGTCTGTCCAGGTATGCACACGTGTCAGTTTGCTAATTAATGATGACTGCGCCGTACAAAGCATGTGTGTGGTCAAGCACAAACAAGCGTGTTCTGACCCATTTCTTGGAACTTAGGCTTAGCGTAACCCAGAGGCATGTGGAGAAAAGCAGAGCTGATAGTGGCTTCCAGTCATCCATCAGATTTCTTTTTTTGTGTCAAATCAAATGTTTTTTTTTTTTTTTCTTGCTTCTAACACATTTTACCCTTACCTGGTCGTAAATCAGATGTGACCAGTGAGCAGGCACAGGTCTGTTCCAGACTCTTGAAAACACTTATTTAGAAGATTTCAAGGTAGAAATAATCTGGAGGAAGGAGCAGGGGGCTGCCTGAAAAAAAAAAAACCAATGATATATTAAATTGAAGTTCCCAGAGGAACTAATTGAAAAAGCAGAATCAAAACATTCAATTCCTTTGTAAAGTGTATTAGATTGGGCAAAATAAACAAAATAAAAGGAAAAAAAAAAAAAGGGGAGAGGTGGGGAAACAGTGGCACAGCAGCATTAAAAAGTCACTTTCTGTGTGACAAAAGTAAAATCACCACTTTCCTTTTAGGCTGAAGTTTCAAGCTTAACCAGCACAGGTCATATTTCCTTGCTTTGTTTCAAGTGTATTCCTGGATTGGCAGAATATCCTGGAATCCCAGCCAGCTCTCGTATGGGATTTTTGTTAAAGACAAAAATATAGCAAGTCATCCTAACGTTGCAAATGACTCATCGGTTGCCTTAGGGAACACTCCCCTGAGACGGCGGCTGCTGCTGAGGAAGTGATGAAGCCGCAAAGGCCACTCCCCCGGCCAATTTCACTGCTCAGCCTACATAAGGGACGTCCCTCCAGAAGCGACTTTGTTTTATCCTTTATTTCACGGGAAGCGCGCAGAAACGGCAAGGAGTGCAGTGTGAATTAACCACAACCAGTTTTCTTTGTGGAAGAGAAGCAAATAGAAGGTCATGAGACAATTTTAAAGGTAGGGGGATTTGCACTTTAAACTCTATCATTTAGTTTTGAGATTAATACAAAAAGTCTACAATGATTTTTTTATTATTATTTTATTTTTATTTTTTAATAGTTCTTGGGAGATGAAAGCAGGAGATCTGTTCTCAGCATGAGATCCCATTTCTGATTCCAGTAAGTTCCCTCTTTAAATGAGAGCTTGTCAGTCTAGTTTTTTTGGAGCCGGCTTCTGGGAGATGGTGTCAGAGGGGAGCATGTAATCTATGAAGTGTGAGCTAAACTTCTAGCATGTTTTCATGAAGAATGAGTATGAAGAACTGGTGAAAAACTAACCAAACGATAAGGAACCACTGATGGAATAAAGTCTGAAGCTTCTTAATGCACATGTGAAAATACAAAGCGTTTGTCTTTAAAGGAAGAAAAATAATATAGTTAATGATCTAAGCAAACTCCATGAGTAGGTATTGTGGTTTCATTATGCTCTGTGTTTGTACGCATCATAAAGATGCAGTTCTTGATACTTGAGTCTTCTGACTGTGTGGGAGTTGAGACTGTCCTTAAGTGTCACTGAGCAGGCAAGGTGTACTTTTGGAAAAGTACACTGTGTTTTATTACTTTCATGGCCCTAAATATTAATAAAATGAAACTGCGTGTTGTTATACAGTCTATGCACTTTTTTCAGTCTTTTTCTGATTGCAGTAGGAAAAACAGCTGATAGCTGTGTGAGAATAAAAGAACTGATTGCAGACTAGATTCAGTGGTGGGGTTATATTGGGGTGGCGGAGTGGGAAGAGAAGAGGAAGGAAGCCAAGGTATTTTTGGATGTCTTCACCACAGCAGATGTTTTCTAGGTTTTGTTTCTACTGTTAACATGCTACCTAGGGTTATGAAAGACAAATATAAATGTAACTTTCTACAGGCGGAAGTACAGTCTGAACTTCTGCTGGCATTTCACTTCTAGCTGGGGGAAGTGATAGGGTTGGTTTTGTTTTTGTTTTTTGTTTTTCTTACTGATACGGATACACTGGCACTTATACTGAAAGGGGCTAATTTTACCCCAGAGGAAGGCAACTGTAGAATAAATTGAGCACAAAGAGCTGAAGTTAAGATGAAAAGAGAGGGAAAACTTTTATGTTCGCTTGTATTGTGTTAACCATGACTATTCTGGCAGTATTGACCGAGTAGGCAGATAGAAACACTTTACTAATAGCAAACAGAAATATTAAGTGCCCAAGTGTGGGCTTGTTCATTCACTTTTTTAGACTTAAAATGTGATGTTAATTGAAATTCACTGATTTACATCAGTTGAGGAATGTGGTGTTTGCTCACTCCAAATCTTGTCTGCAGTTCGAGAAGCACTGAGAAACAGCCAGCAACTTCAAAGACCTGAAGGTTTGAAGTTGTGATTGAGAAGAGCTCACAAATTGAGTTCAAAGAATTGTTTTACATAGAGTGTATGAAGATTAATGTGATATTCTTTGTGGCATACAGCTCTCAAAATTCTTTTTAGGACTTGGGTGGTTGCTTTTCTCTGGTATTAGTGTGTATCTGTTCCAAAAAAAAATGAACCTCTTCAGTGATCACACGTGGTCTGTTTAGCTTCAAAGTTAGCTATAAAGTTAAGCCAAAGAGCCATGTTACCAAAATGTAGTTTTCAGAAGTTTTCTTCATTCAATTTTTTCTGTTCATTGGATTGGTAAGGATGATAACTGCAGTTTGTTACTGTGTTGCATATGGTTGTTCTATTTTCCTACTCATATATGTAGCAGAAGGGGGAAAACCCACTAATTAGAAAAGTCCAGGGCAGATGAAAAGAATGAAGTAAGTTAATGAGATGCCTGTGTCAGCAGGTATGTACCTCATCCTGGAGTCTGCAGTTTGAGGAGGCACTGTAGTTGTGGTGATGTGGAAAAGTAAGCTCTGTAAAGAAACTTGGGTCGCCAAAGAACAAAGAAGTTCATAGCTCAGCTGTACTGAGATATCCAAGGATGGGTTAAGATGACAAGATTTTAAAAAGCTAATTAAAAGCAGAACTGAGAAAATCCAAGCGCACTTACATTTCCTTATCACAATAAGGAAAATACTTGTTTTTGAACACCATAAGTAATTTTTTGGTGTTCCCTAATCCTTTTTATTTTCACTGTTCAGACCCATAAAGAAGACAAGCCTCAGGAACTGCTGGAAATGAATGGGAATACAGCAGAGTCCCATTCCTACGACTATGACCTCATTGTCATCGGTGGAGGCTCAGGCGGTCTGGCTGCTGCCAAGGTATGAGAGAGAAAATGTAGATTTGTGCTTTCCTTGTGAGTGGGTGACATCTTCAGTAACTCGGTTCTGGATATGTCTTAACACTGTAAGGCCGTAACATTTCTGTCTGTTCAGCTGGACTTCTGTTGAATTTAGTTCTAGGTTAAAGGTGCTCTTATCTTACCCATATTTGTATGTATTATGCATGCCATACACTGAACTACTGTGGTCAAGAAAGCTAATGGCATATTAGGGTGCATCAAGAAGAAGCATTACCAGCATATTGAGGGAGGTGGTCCTCTTCCTCTATTCTGCCCTGCTGAGGCCAGAATATTGAGAATTGTGTGTCCAGTTCTGGGCTCTTCAACTCAAAAATGACAGGGATCTTCTAGAAAGGGTCAAGTAGATGGCTATAAAGGTGAGCAGGGGTTTGGAGCATCTTCCATGGAAGGAAACTGCAACTCTTCAGTCTTGAGAAGACTGAGAGGGGATCTTATTGCTGTTTATCTAAAGCATGGGAGTCAAGTCAAGGGATGGGCTCTTCTTGGTGGCATGCAGCAATAGAACAAGGACAAAAACTGGAAGATAGGAATCCCATACAAATAAAAGGATGAACTGTACTGTGAGAGTGATGAAACACTGGAACAGGCTGCCCAGAAAGGTTGTAGTGTCTCCCCTGCAGACACCTTTCTGGGCACTTTCCTGTGTGACCTACTTTAAGGAACCTGCTTTAGCAGGGCCTTGGGTTCAACAATTTCAAGAGTTTCCTTCCAATCCATACAGTTCTGTAATTTTTGTAATATAGTCTGCTTTTCCATATATTTGAAGCAGAAAAATACGAAAACATCATGGTATAGCTTTCAATACAGTGCAGCTTGTTCCTTGCATCCCCATTAATGAAAGGGAATGATTTTAGAAAATAGGAGGTGGATAACTTTACAATGAGAAAGCACACAGCTGAGTGGTGGGTTGTAACGTGCAGCGCCTGTCCATAATTTATTTTGGTAGTTTGCTACTCCCTCATCAATAGGATCGCTGTTGTCATGGCTGAGGATGAAAGATAAGTTCTGTGAAAATTCTGAGAACCTGGAAAGAAAAGTAGAAAGTAGTTTTTAGGGGACAGGAATGTTCAAGACAAAATAGTAAGAAGAGTAAAGGAGAACTTGGAGTAGTACAGAACAGACTTGGAGTAATGAAATGCCATCTGTTGAAATTTCCATAAGGAAGCTGCTTTGTTTTGCTGTATGCATATTCTAGCTTGCGAAGCTGTATGATGTTTATTGCATCATTTCTCAGCTCTGGGGCTGAAAATGTGTGTCTAGAAAAATGAATGGCCTTGTTCCTTCAACTCAAGGGAGTAGGGAAAAGGTAGGAAGATGGGCTTAGATGAGGGAGAAAACAACAGGCCATAAGCTAAGAAAAAACTAATTTACTAAAAATGATAGTGGAATGTGAGATAATATAATGTAATACAATATAATTGGAATTGAAGCTAATAAATAAATGAGAGAGTGAATGTCTGAAAACGAAAGGTCTTACTCTAGTGCTGCAGGCGAGATGGCCAGGGAGCACACAGAGCCAAAGCG